AAACCCTGATGGAAATAATAGAGAAAATAAAAGCCAATAATAAAAAACTGTTGAAGAAGAAGTATGAAAGGTTGAACAAGAAACTCGTTAACTTGAGGACGAAGCAAAGCAACCACAAAATCATGAAAGATGCAGAACAGAAATTCCACTCCCGATTTGTAAACTTGACGGAGGTTTACATCAATGAGCAAGAAGCAGAACTATTAAAAAAAGGCCTCAAACACAACATTGAAAGTTACAACCGAAAGAGGGAACTTGAACAAACTATCGTGGATACTGAAGTTATTATATCACGGCTTCCAACTGAAGAACAGGAGCACGCCAGACACATATGTCGGCACATAATTGAAAAAGACATAAATGCCAAGAAAACTAGGAAGCAGAAGAACGAAAACCAAACCATAAAAGGGCTCAAAGAAAAGCTAAGGGCAAACAATGTTATAACCACAAAAGCAGACAAAGGCAATACCACCGTATTAATTGATAAAAAAGANTTAACACTTATGAACTCGAGTGTCCCTCCGTTGATTGCCTTGCCGAAGACACACAAACCAGGCACCCCGATGAGACCTATTATTAAATACAAGTCTGCTCCCGGATACAGGCTCTCCAAGCACCTAAAGACGCTGCTGAAGGATAGCCTGGATCTACGCAATAAATATACTATTACAAATACAACGGAACTAATCGAGAAGATGAAATCGTTGAAGATCAACGAAAACACTAAATTCGTATCATTCGACATCAAGGACCTTTACCCATCGATACCAACAATAGAAACCATAAAGACCGTACAAGAAATACTGATGGGAAAAATGAAAAGAGAAGCTGTCACGGAAATAATAAACGCGTTGAAGGTCACATTAAAACAAAACTACTTCCGGTTCAACAATAAGATATATAAACAGATTAACGGGTTAGGAATGGGCAATCCGACGTCAGCAATACTCATGGAAGTATTCATGCAAACACTGGAGGAGAAATACATGAAAAACCTATCGACCAACCTAGGAGTAAAATTCTACGCGAGATATGTCGATGATGTAATATGTCTAATAGAGGGAAACAAAGAGAAACAGATACTAGACTATCTCAACAAACAACACCAGAATATAAAATTCACCATGGAAACGGAAGAGGAAAGAAAGATTAACTATCTGGATTTAACAATTAAAATAAACGATACCACGAACAAGATAGAGTTCGAAATATACAGAAAACCAACAGCCACAGACGCAGTTATACACAATAGCTCAAACCACCCACAGCAACAAAAAAATGCAGCATTTAGACAACTAATAACGAGGCTTGAAAGGACCCCTCTAA